CCCATCCCATTTATACCCTCCTTATTCTAAACTCACAAGATGATAATTAATAGCATAGGTTGGATGTATATATGAAACAAAAACCAGAGTTCTAGGGGCGTTTTCGAGTCAAAATAAATATCCATTTAAGAAAAATCTTGATGTTCCTCCTTCATTCTTGACTGTATTAATTAGCCAGACCTGATTTTTTGTTGATTTAAAAGGAAAAAGTTGATGAAATTATTAATCCGAGCGTGAAAACTTAAATTAAAAGGTATCAAATAATTTCTGACGGAATCAGTTTTCAATTAAAAAAGGTGTAATCCTGTTTTTTTGTAAAAGATGTGAAGGGGATTTTGTTCGTAACCCTAGATGAGCCGTAATATCCTTTCTCCCTGTTCATTATACTTATGAAAAGTCGGCGCCATTTCAGTAATGTGAGAGAAAAATCCGCGAAACCAAAAATTTTTCGAATCGTGGATTTTTAAGAAATTTATGTTTTTAAACATAATTTCTCGTCGACGGTTTTGAAGTGAGTAATATCTCATCAACTTTTCATTATGTCACGCCTTGCAATTCAAATTAAATCTTTTTCTTCTTTTCTTTTTGTTTATTCTTCATTCTACAGCTGGGTTACTCATCTAAACAGTGTTAAACCTCATAGTTCTTTTCGTTAAATACGGAAGCAGACTATCTTAAACCTTCTTTTGCATATTCTGTTCAATACCAATCATGACTGTATGGTATTTAAGACGGGACTATTTTAGTCCTGTCATACATAGAACATGCCTTCAATTCATGCCAATCCGTACACAATTTATGCATACCATGTTGCAGTTTGTTTAGATATACTTAAATTTTCGCAATTCTTAGAAATTAACTTTTTTAAAAAGGAGAAATCTTTTTAAGAACATTGTTTATAAAAACGTTTGAAAAAATTCCAACATTGATGAAAAAAATCTAAAAATTTTAATTCTGCCGAGAAAGTAGCCTTTGTCTCTTTTTCATCCCGTAAATTGGAGATTTTAATGACGCCAATTTGGGCAGTTTTTGCGGGTTGGTGTAGGGGCGCTAAATCCGTATAATATATGATAGAAAAAGGAGTGTTAAACTGTTCAACGTTCATCACTGTCAATTATATGACTTCATTTTAATGTCCGTTTAGGGTCAGGGGGGGGGCTCTGTAGAGATTCAAAAGGGGGAAGGGTATTTGATATGGAAATAATAAATAATATTTTAGACGTGAGTTCATCTCCAAATAGTTTGGTGATACTTAATTCAGAAAAATACCCTCAGGTAGCTTTAATTCATTCATTCATTCATTATTCATTCATCCTTTCATCATTCATCCTTCCTTTCATCATTCACACTTTTATTCATCTTTCCTCCTAACTATCAAAAGTGAAAACCTTACATTTAAAAATTATTTAAAGTCTTAAATTTTGAATCTTGAATTCAGTAAGTGTTGAATTCAATTTCTCTTTTTCTTCACTTTGGCTTAATCATGCAATCTTCTTCATCTTAAAGGACTGTAAGTGATCTTTTTCCATTCACCTTAGACTGATTACGAAGATATCCATATTTTTCTAGCTGAAAATTGAGTTCGAACTAGCAATAAGTCATCCTTTAAAAAGGGTACCATTGTGAATTTAGGGTCACTTGAAATTGGGTCCTCAGCTGATCCCTTTCAGTATATTTATCAACGTGTTCATAACATCCTACATAACTTCTAACTCCTTGCCTAGGATGTGGATATGGAAGAAGGCGAGGGGAACACATCTCCACCATCCTTCGAACCCCTTCGAACCTCCTCCTCCCCTCCTGTCGACGATACCCTCGAACCAGACTCTGAAGATGAACTTTTTATAAACGAAGGCCCGTCTTTAGACGATGATGATAGTCTTGGGAACGGAGAAGAAGGGTTTTCAAACAATTTCGACGAAAACTCAACGTTTTTGGACGACGAATCAACAACCTATGGCAGTCCAGGACTTAGGGAGGCTTTTGGTGAGGGATTCGGCGGCGCTACTGAACAGGAGAACTCATTAGATCTAGAACCATCAAGGACTGGTTCCGCCGACAATTCAAGAAAGAATAAGAGAAAAAACTTTCGACCCAGAAACATTATTTACTCTAACAACGAGAGCGACGATGGTGACGGTAAGGTGCGAGAGCGCGACAACTCCCCGATGGATCTGAGTGTGGCCAGTAGTCGACCAAACCTAGATTCAGATTCAGAATCGGAGACAGGTTCGGCCGGAAATAAACCCAAGACCGGTGGACTATCCGTGGTCCGTCCTGAGATTCTATTCGGCCGGAAGTCCCCAACCTCAGCACAGGGACCCGTGGACCCGAGTCCCTTATACTTGCTGTCCCACCTCTCCAGCATGTCCGGGGCCCTCAACCCGTTCATGAAGGAGGCCTCCTCCGCCAATACGATGAAAGACGCGTTCCGTGAGGTTCTAAAACTGTACGGAATGTCTTCTGAACTCGTGGATTCCATCACACAACAGTCAGAACAGAAACAAGGTAAGCAGACATCTTGGTTTATATTTCTCTAACAAAAAAGTTTTCTTTGTTCTTTCTTTTGTTTGAAATTTGTGACATTTATAACTCTGTTCTGAACATTTAAAAAGATGGTCATTGTATAAAAATTATGTTCTTTTATTCTAATATTATACATATTTAATTTTTCTACTTAACTATCTATTTTACCTAATAACCTACCGAAATTGCTAACATTAACCCAACCTGCCTACTTACTTACCTATGTCTTTATCTATCTTTCTAATTATCTATCTATCTCACTCATCTATCTATCTCTCTTATCTATCTATCTCTCTCATCTATCTATCTCTCTCATCTATCTATCTCTCTCATCTATCTATCTCTCTTATCTATCTATCTCTCTCATCTATCTATCTCTCTCATCTATCTATCTCTCATCTATCTATCTCTCTCATCTATCTATCTCTCTCATCTATCTATTTTTCTCTAACTATTTTTATCAATCTATCAATCTATTATGGATCTATATAGTTTTCTATCTATTTATCTATCTATCTCTATCATCTATCTATTTTTCTCCAACTATTTTTATCAATCTATCAATCTATTATGGATCTATATAGTTTTCATATCTATTTATCTATCTATCTCTCTCATCTATCTTTTTTTCCTATCTATTTTTATCAATCTATCAATCTATAATGGATCTATATAGTTTTCTATCTATTTATCTATCTAGCTAGCTAGCTAGCTATCTATCAATCTATCCTTCAATCTATCTATCTATCCAAGTGCTTGAGAATGCATGATGGTGCCTAGGTTGAATAAAGTATTACAAGTTTTAGGAAATATGGCAGAGTTTGGGAACTCAGGTTGCATGCAGGGTCAGGGGGTCATAGGCCAGTAGCTGGGCCCAGGGTGGTCCATCAGGGGCAATAGATTCTAGCAGTTTTTCTAATAGTTCGCGCTAAAATGTATTCTCACTTTTGAAAAATTTACAAAATTCCTGCATTTGTTTTGTTTTCGCATGCGAATTGTACATTTTTGTTGTTTTTTACAATTTATGTTATTTTCATTATTTTAAGGAGCATAGCCTTAGGATATATTTAGTATTCAAACAGCTAAACGGGAAAATAGAAATTGCAAATTTACAAAGTTTTCTCAAAATTAACTACATAGGTCTAAGATACATAAATAAATATATATATCTAAACAAAAACACGTATATATTTCAACACATAAATAAATATATATTTCATGACATATATAAACATATTTTAACACATAAAATACCCTTCTTTGTTAAGAATGCTGCTGCTTATGATAACACTGCATTTTTTAAGATTTTTGCTTTTTTTCAACAAAAAATAATATCGTTGGGTTTTTTTTCTTCAGAGAAACGTGTAGAGCCATCATTACCCCCTCTTCCCCTGCCAATGCACCCCGGAATGCTGTCTGCAGCTCTACAAGGGGGCCTTTCCCCTCACCACCCTCCAACCCCTCCCAGAACCCCCCAGGGGCTTAAGGATCCCTCATCCCCCCTTAATCCGTTCCTCTCCATGTCTCCTTATATGAAGAATCATATGGGGTCCCCTCTTCCCAAGCAAATTCAAGGTAAATAGAAAGAATAGAGTAGAATAGAAAAGAATAAAATAGAATAGAATAGAATAGAATAGAATAGAATAGAATAGAATAGAATAGAAT